TTTTATTTTTGGTTTAATAATATAATTTTTTTAAAGATAATAATTAAATATTTTGTTAGAACTTAATAATTATCCTAATTTTATTTTAGATTTTTTATATTTAAAATAAGATGTTTATCTTGTATTTAATTATGTTTATCTGCAGTTGGTTACACGAATTCAAACATGAATCTTTAATAAGTTGTATCTACGCACAAGTTACTTGTAATCTTGAATTATAAGTAATATGCATTAATAAACAATATTTCATGCAAATGGTTTTTAAGAATTTTTATTAAATGTCTTATTATATAGTATAGATATTAATCTATCTTCATAATTATATAAGTAATATATTTGATTTTCTCATTATAATTTTTATTTTAAAAACACTTTTTTTTTATTTTTTGCTAAATGGATACCCATTGTGATTTCTTCTCCCAAACCCTACAAGGATTAGTCGGTGTCGAGGTCAGGGACTACGACTTAAACTGGAGTCGAGGACGAGGGATACATTACCTGTCCCATTTCCATCCTTATTTGCAAATCTCTTGATCAGTTTTTTCTCTCCATTTTTTCCACAATGGGCACGAAGACCCAAAAATTGGTTAAGGTAGTGTTTACTAAACACTTACGGCTTATTACCGGTTAATTATACACTTATTGTATTTAATCGGATAAGAGACGCTTACCCAGTAAGAAATGATGGTTTTTACCAACGATCTTATTATTATCATTTTTCTAAGTGAGAATCTTATCTGGTAAGTGAGGGTTATCACTTACCAGATAAGAGAAGACACGTTTAACTATTTTATCGACTTAATGATCATGCAATCATGTTATGAATATCAGAGAAGCAACCAATCATGACAACAATACGGTTCTTACCTCAAATCCACTGGAACTTGTAATTCTCTCGTATTTTAATTCATTTGATAGATCTCATTAATTGCAGAAGCGTTTTGTTAATCAAAACCTTACGAGGGATTGTGAATTTGTGATGTAAGGATACACAATTTTATCTGGAATTTAAATAGATGTTCCATGGAATGAAATATGCTCGAACTCCTATTGTTATACATGATTAAAGATAACATGAGACGATGTTAAAACTTTGAACGACACGAGGACCAAATTATGCAAGATTTTAAATTATGCCATGGATCGTTAGAAAACAAATCGTATAGAAAGGGATGTAAAAGGGCCAAGCACGGTCCCAAAAGTGATTCATCTTAATTTGAAAACATAACTGATCATCAGATTGTTTGCGGAAATAGACAAGGTAAAAATAACCTATCTAAAATAATCCAAGTTTACACACAGATATACTTAACATCCATATCATCTATAGTTACAAGATCAACGTATTACCAATCAAAATGGAAACAAAATAGTAGGATTGAATATTTGTTAGACTTGGGGGTAAACCTACAACGTCCCAACAGAGTCCCATACACCCGTTCAACCAATTTTCGTAAGTATAATTTCTTTTTAGGGTATGAAAAGTGAGCACTAAACTCTAATCGGTGCTCTTGGATATTTAAAAATCCACAAGACATCAACCAAAAAACCCGAAAAAAAAAATCCCTCAAGATCAACCAAAAAGCTTGAAAAAGTCCCTCGTAAAGGTAGATTTCAACTAAAAACGCATCAGACGACTTTACAGTCTTCATGACACCTTAAATGTGTGCACTCGTTTGGTAAAAATCTCGAACCCGTTACTGTTTATACTAATTTGAAGAGGAAAAAACCATCGTTACACTAAATAAAAACTAAAACGAAATGCCAAGAAACAAACATAACCAATATTTTGTGGAAAAAAACATGAACAATCAAGGTATCATATAACACAAGATTTACAGAGGTAATCTACCAAATGTTGCCATCTTTCTATACTTTTGCATCATATAAAAATTCTTCCATAATATTAAGAAAAAAAAACATTCCCAAAAAACAAGCTTTTTAGAATTAACATCGTGGTTGCCCCCGAACCGACCACCGGAGAACTCGTGCGTCAGGTGATTTATAGCGAACGTTTGCAGGTCCTGTCATACTGCTGCCCTTACGGCGCCTCTAGCAACTTCACGTCTCATCTCTGCTGCTTTGCCACTTCCACGGAAATACATGTATACTTGCTGCATAACAAGGAATACGATAACGAGCTCAGAACCTTTCTAGTATTTCGACTAAATGGTAGCATGAATTTCTAATGTTCTCTTTTCGCTAAATTTTCAAGATGAAATTGCAAACTTGCCCAGTTGTCAATTTGTTATCAAGTTTGGTCCTCGAGTTCCCGTTGAATTGTCCTAGTGGAAAGGATTTAGGTTGAAATCTGTCCCCGCCCACCCTAGGACACCGTAAGTTACCTCCCATGATGTCCGTGGGGCGCTCTAGAGGCTAGCGCAAACCTTTTTCCACAACTTTGGAGCTCAAATCTCATCATTTTAGGGTGCATTTGGTATGCAGACGAGCGTCTGGACAGGACTGAAGATTGAGGTAGGTGGGTGAAAGAATTGCGGAAGGTTTTAGGGTTCCAATTTGACATGGGCAGTTTAGTAATTTCCCAATCTTGTCCTCATCTCCCTGATTTTTTGTTCCACCTATTTTGGTGGAACAAAAAAATTTGTCCTACTCGGTCCTATCTTGTCCCGGCCTAATGCCGTGCCAAACGTGGGACGACGATTTTGTTCCGTCCTGTCCTGCTTACCAAACACACGCTATTTTAAAAGCTTGTTTCTTATTGTAACTTTCCCTTATAAATTTTTGCTCGTAGCCATTGTTACAAATAATCAACATACAGATTTTGGTCTGACTGTTATTTCATTTACCATAAGGTTTTTCAGGCATCCAACTAATATATAGTGAATTCTATTTTATCTTTATTTTATCAGGTATCAAGTCAAACGCAATATTATACGACCAAAAAAAAGTGAATAAGAAACTGACCTGAATAACCCAGATGCTGAGCAGCGACTCGAGACAGAACAACCCAAATCCTACAAAATAGAAAATCTACAACAACAAAAAAAGCCCTTAATTAGCATACTTCAAGAGAAGATTACCAAAATGGGAAAAAATTCATCAAAATGCAACCAAGTTCTTGGTTCCAATTTAGTGTAACGAAGAATTTGTTAACGAAGTTAAAAAATTTCCTATTTTGTAACCATTTTGACTGGTAACCTGCTGACCTTGTAACATTTGATGACATCGATACCCTTTTGTGAAATATATTTCAAAGCCTACTGATTTTGTAACAATTGATCACATGGATACCCGTTTATGATACGTTTTCGAAAAGGTTACGCCAAAGTGGACGATAAACTTGACAGTTAACATTCTCATAACCAAATTTTACAAGAGCAAGATCAGCAGTTTACCGGTCAAAATGGGTAAAAAAAAATAGGAAAGTTAAAAACTTTGTTACATTAAATATAAAATTTTGAAATCAGTTACATCAACTGAGAAATAAAATTCTTTTTACACCAAATAGGAACCAAGACAAGTTTAGTTGCATTTTGATACATTTTGCCCTACCAAAATTGACATAATGCAAGAAAACTTACCCCAACCAAAGCGTGCTTGCCTACAAGGTCAACTGCTGGTAGAATTCCGCTGTGGAAAAGGAAGGAGAAATGTTAAACCTAGATGAAACACATGCGTGTATGACTCTCGACATAATCAAACGGATAACTACGATTTGGTTTTATAATAGCAGTCCGGTCCTGGTTTCGTACCGTTCTGTTTGGCTCATGGTTTCAAATTTTCAGCTGTAGAACCAGGTCGAGCCGAGTAGTATCATTGGTATTAAATCAAGTTCTAATTGATTGTTCTTGTATTAAAACCGTTAATTAATTAAAATATTCGATAGCATTTATAATAAATAAAAGCAACACGCATCTTCTTGTAATGCTATATACTGATATAGTTCAATTTATTTGGGGGAACAAACCATATAAACCATGGAACCAAATCAAGCTGAACCAAAGCTAACAAGATTGGATCGATTTGAATTGGTTTAGGAATGTCAGAACTGCAGGCGGGTGTCATATTGCAATTAGAAACCAAACAAATGAACCTGGTAAATATAACACAAAGTAGGGTCGGGGGTAATATGTACGCGGACCCCGGAAGAAATGAAAAAGTGCAAGCAGGATGAGGAACTCACGCAAGAGATTTTCCTTTGAAGACAACGGGAGGGGCAACTGCAGCAAAGATGACGAAGCCTATATGAACCTACAGGCACCAAAAAGAATTAGGCACCATCTATAAAGATATATAATAGCGAAACAATACTCTCCATCCGTCCCAAAATAAAAATGTCCAAAAAAAGCAAACAACTTTATAAATACGTGTAACTATTACAATTTTTAATTATAACATTTTACCCTAGTAAAATAGAGAGAGAGAGATGAATTTCTCTATGTCATAATTAAGGGTAGAATTGGAAAGTACACGCTTACTTTTGAAAGAGGATGCTTATTGTGGTATAGATACTTATTTTTGGACAAACTAAAACAGAAATGTGGACACTGGCCGTTTACGAAACGCTTACCTGTAAGAGCTTACGGGGTCATTTACCTTACAGGATGAACATGGTAAGGGTTGAGAATCTTACCCGGTAAAAGCGACGATAAGGATGGAAAGTCTTACCCGGTAAATGAGGATGACGACCCTTACCCAGTAAGCGCTTATTGGGCAAATTGTTGCATATGATACCATTTTGATGGACTACAATCTTACCGGTCAAGTAAGTTAAGAGTGTTGACTCCTAACAGTAAGTGCTTACTGGGTAAGTGTTTGCGTAAACTGGGTAAGCGTTTGCGTAAACGGCCCCTTATTTTGAGACGGAAGGAGTAATATGCCAATGACACAAGAATCTTACCAAGTAAAATATGAAGAACCAAGTGAACTTCAATGCACTTTCACTCCTGCAATATGATTTGCAATGTAAGAGAATGAGTAAGATTCCATTTGCTTATACCATTTTGTTATGTTGTCCGATTTTAAGGATCTTATTTTAGTTCTAAATTCAAATCAAGTTATGTACCCACCATCACATATTTATTTCATCTAAATAAAACCCAAATGACCTAAACAACGGACGAATAGAATTCTTTTTGTTTATCTCATTTCTCCCCGTTGCAAGTTCTCCATTTTGTGGATCCCATTTAGTTTCTGCTCGCAACAAGTAAATGACACCCACTATTACATATTTATTTCTCCATCCTATATAAACCGGACCCACAAACTTAAAAGGAGGGGGGGAGCTGTTGCAACGCGTAGACAGTATTTAAGCAAGATTGGGGTAGACTAGGCATTTACCTAAATGCACGATAAAGAGGCCGGTACCACAACACGTAGGCAAGTGGAACTCCCGAGATGAAGTAGATTAGAGCAAGAAACCAGATCTTCGGGTCTAGTAGAAGAAAATTTTGAGTAAGAATAATTTCTCAACTGTCCCAATGGTAAGAAAAATAACAGATGTTATGAACTTAAAAGTTTACAGCAGAAGCCCATCAGCACAAACCTTCTCCTTTAATCCAAGCTGTTGTTGTGGCTATAATATTCCACAGAAGACAGAGAACTAATCCTGCTCATAAAAAAATAGTATTTTATTAGAGGGGGCTTGCTTTAGATATCCTGAAGTTGTGAATTATAAATTTATACAGAGCTTGGATCCAATTTGTACGGGCTATTTAGTGGGTCCCATCGATATGGTGTGAGAAGACATCCTATTGATTGATCTCATGAAATTCTCGTGTACACAGAAACAGGAAAATATCATTGGTTTGATAAGAGAATAAAAGCATACCCAAGTATGTTGTGAATGCAACATATTGCAATTTCTGTAGATGAATCGGGATCTCATTTGCAATATCATGATGAATAATGGGAAAAATTGGCGGCCAATTTTTCTCCTCAAGAACAATACCAGCTGCATACAGGGGGCTCAATTAGTTATCAATGTCCATTGCCGATATGAACTTCTAATTGCACCCATTTTTCATTTTAGGTTAACTTGTTTCAAATAATGGTGATCATTTCCAGTTTTACTTGATAAGAATTGCAACTGACAATCTGGATAATAATAAATGCACAGAACATACCTCGTGCAGCTGCTTCTTCTTTCCGTTTTACTATCTGTGTATAGCATTAGTCAAATAATTACTAGCTTTTTCGGGAGGTAGATTCCTCTAAACAGCAAATTTACTATCACAGGAGAAATTAAATGTAACAAATACAATCTGAAATGCAAGTTCATTATACTTGCAACTTAAACTTCAAAATGTATAATAAGTGAAGTTCTATATGAAAATCACTTCCATAATGAAGGCTGCAGTGATTTGCGTTGGGAGCATTGTCAACATGAAATCAACAACATAAGCACAGAAAACCCATTGAGAAAAAACATCAAAAGAAAATTAGATTAATTTACAAATTGATCAATTTTAATCTAACACTGGTTTATTAAATCAACAAAAGAATATTAAAACCCAAGCTTAGTGCCACGAACTGGGGCCTGAGTTAGACTATACACTGGAAGACTACTTTGTCAGAAAACAGTTATTCTGGGCAGCTAAGAGACAACATGTATATTATCCTTCTTCATTTGAACTTTTTCCTTATAAATGGTATAAGCCTCTTTGTGTGTACTTCAGACCAGATATAATAAAAACCCTAGCAAAGACCATGAATGTAGACAAACTGTTGAACCACATAACTGCTTTGTCTTTGATTTATCTTTCCACGCAACAATTATAGTGTGAATATAAATCCTAACATTATGTTCACATCATAAACCAAACTAAATCAAATGATTTCAGTAGATCCCACTCAAAGGCAGGGTCTGGGGGTGGAATCTACGCAAACCTGTCCTCTATCCCAGTGGGTAGAGCGGCCTTTTACATACTACATTCACATTAAGACAGGCATAAATGCAGACAACATTTCTTGAAAAGTACCTCTTCCCTCTTCCTCAAATCAGCTTCCCTGGATTGCAACTCTCTCTCTTTCTTCTTCAAATCCTTCAAAAGTGACCATACAGAATAAAAGTAGTTGATTAAAAGAAGCAGAAGTCATGCAAGAGATGAAGCAGTGTTCCACAAAACCCCACTTAGGGCTGTTTAATTGGCCACCTAGATATTGAGTGTTCTCAACACCGCTTTATTAGTAGGCCACTTAATTGAATCCCTAGGCATAAAGTGTCCCCATTGCTTCAATTAACCACTAATCTTCGAATTAAACATTTCAAAAAGTAAATTAAACAATGATTTTGGTTATTTAGAGAAGTAGTTGAACAAAAATGTAGTATCAAATTTTCAATTTTCATGTGTTAACATAAATAAAAAGAATAACTCTATTTCATATGTTACAATGAACCCACTTATCCTTCCGCTTACACGTCTTACTTAATCCCTATTTTGGCGATTGAGAATTAGAAGGTCACTCGACCTCCTAGTTCCAGTTCACGTTTTAGAGGATACTAGAGTAAATTTAATAAGATCCGACTGTTGACTTACTGCAGCTGAATCAAGAGGGATGTCAACTGGGGCGCTCCTGTCATAGAAATCTGCAGGTTCGTGAGGAAGAGGTGATAGTCGAGAGTTCGTAGCAGAAGGAACACTCTGCAATACCCAGTCAAAACACAACAAATGTGAAGAAAAAGAATTTCAGGTACCCATGTAGTCGTAAACCAGAACCTCCATATATAAGAAAAGTTGTTGGAAAAATAAATGACAATGGATTGAATGAAAACAAAATCATAAAGAAAAAGAGTAACAAATGCATGTAAAAGGTGCCACCAAATACATAACTGCATATTACATCATGCATCAAAAGAGCATATATGACTATCACATGCATAAACCATGCACAAGTATGAACCAACCGTACTTTGATAATATGAAGATACTCGAGCAACACATTTCAATTTAACATTTGTTGAACTAACATGAAAACCTTGGTTATCAAGATGGTCATAAGTAACAGAAACAAACAAGAAGGCCTTATACTTACTGTCGTGTAGAATGAACCTCCAGTATAATTTGTCTTGCCAGCTCCTTTACCCCCAGCTCCTTGATCCTGTTTATGGGAACATATCATTTCACATAAGCATTAACTTATTATAGGCAGAATAACATAAATAGGACACCATATGAGTTTATCTTTAATGTGCACATCCGAACTATTTTATGCATAAAGTTTTGATGAGGTCAGTGCTTTCTGTCTAAATTCTTCAGTGCCTCTCCACCATGCAAACTCATCAAACCACATTCTTGTCACAACAGTGTCTTTCACTCTTCCATGTATGTGATGCATGCAAACTTGATTCTTCCAACAAATCTGCACCTGATATTCAACTAAATCTAACTGCCATCAAAATTTGAAGGCATATGCCAGACCAAAAGAGGGGTAAAATGGTAAACGACAATTTGGATCATTATGCCCATACCCCGTCCCTCACAAGAAGCTGAAGTGGCAACAACATGCCGCGGAGTCCCTGCTGAATTGTCTGGGCGGAAAAGGGGTGGAGCTTTCACAACAAAATCTCAAGTTCAAATCTGGACCCACCCACACTGCCCTTGGACACGGCAGTTTTACCTCCCCCATTAGCCATGATGGGCGTTGGTATGGTGGGGGTGCTCTGGAAGGTAGCGCAAACCCTTTTCCACAACAAAATGGCATGGATGTGTATAATCTACAGTTTCACCTACTTCATGTGGACAGGATACAGAATTCCCATTTGTGTCACTATAAGTACTGGCTTCTTGTACATCATCAACAAGATGACCAACCTACAAAGCCTGATTAGACTAAAACTCAAGATCAAAGTTTTTTAAGAAAACTGTTGCAACAGTTAGGCAGTTAGCATGATGTTTTTTACACCTTGTACAAATGGAGCTCTGTCTTTTTTAACGTGCGTACCATCAAATTCACATATTCTATAAAAAGAATCCTATCAACAACTGTGGAATTATTGTCCGGTGGAATAACTGTCTCTTTGATTTATAATTCTAAGATTACTACTATCTACATGTGATTTGTGATCTTATAAGCAACCAACAGTCGATTAGGGAAATTTTTAGTAATAATTTTCAACTTTCTCCAATCAAACTTTGTAAAAGCAAAAAAGATAAGAACCTCCGCTAATCACGAGAATAAACAATGGTTAATCATCTACAATACTTAAAATTGTATGACAGCTAAAATACCATTTGTAGCCAACAGACGAGTCAATCTCTCAAAGTAGCTCCATAACATACGCACAATAGTTATATTGGAATTAAACAACTTCGTGAGAGCACGCTTATGCACGTAAACATAAATTAGAACGAAAAACAGATCCACAATTTAGGTCAACGAAAAAAATAAAAATAAACACATTTCACAAAATCAGAAGCCAAGTTCATCAAAGAAGATACACAGCTTGCTGATTAAGCAAGTAAAGTAGCAAATCAAACCCTAGATTGAAGCCTAAACAGTATGAAGTTAACAATCATATCATCTACTCAAACAAAATACAAATGATTCAAACTCATCCATGTAATTGGAAGTAAATTTTATAACTTACAGCGAATGGATTAACTTCATCTCCCTCGTCAAAAGGATTAGGATCAAAACGACCAGCCATTAACACCGACTTCTAGATACAGAAATTAAATACAACAATAAGTGATCTGTGAAATGAGAAGGAAGATATGAACAACAAAAAGCTTGAATCCTGAGCAAAAATGGAAGAACCTGTGTGAAACAAGTAGAGAGAGACTGGATTTGTCTACGAGCTGCTGTGGTGGTCAAAGATGGAGAGAAGGTTTGCAATGGACGACGTCTCGTTTGGTTTTGTTGCACCTTCTCCCTTTTTTCTATTCGTTTCTTTTAACTTTTCTTTTGGATTTATCTTTGTAGCGTAAATTACGATTTTCATCCCTATTGTTTGTTAATAATTTCAATTTTCGTCCATGTAGTTTAAAATTTGTGATTTTTATCCTTATATCTTGTAATTTATTGTTTTTTTTGTTTCTAAATTATTTTTTTACTATCAAAACAGCAAAGAATTGAACCATAGGGACTAAAACAATAATAAATTGTAAATCATAAGAACAAAAATAACAATAAATTACAAACTATAGAGACTGTTAATTATCATGTCCCCACGACATGTGTCACTCATAAATACTGCCAAAAAGTATGTAAACCCAAGTAAATCATGTAGATTATTAAAATTAACTTTGGAGAATGATTCTGAAATAATATGTGTAATTATAATAATTACATGGTATTATCTGTAAATATATATAATTATATTAAAATTTAAGATAATTGTATAAATATTAAAGATAACTAGAAAAGTACTCGCGCAATGCAGCGAGACACATCTCGATTTTAGTGTTTTATTTTATTATTTGTCTCTGTTGATGTTATAATACGATTTTATGTGTTTTTAAGAAAACATTAATGATTTTATTTTTTAATAAAATATAAATTTGAAAAAAAAAATATATCAATGTTAATATCAAATCAACTATTTAAAAGTTCTCATTTTTTATGTAATTTTTTAATTTATTTTTTTATTATAATTTAATTTAAGTTTAATAACAAAATAACTTATTTTTGGTTTAATAATATAATATTTTATAAATATAATAATTAAGTATTATGTTATAACTTAATGATTATTCTAATTATATTTTAGATTTTTTATATTTAAAATAAGATGTTTATCCTGTATTTGATTATGTTTATCTGTAGTTAGTTACACGAATTTAGATATGGAGCTTTAATAAGTTGTACCTACGCACAATCTACTTGCAATTTTGAGTTTTAAGTAATATGTATTAATAAACAGTACTTTACGCATAAAAAGTGATTTTTAAGAGTTTTTGTTAAATACATTATAATATAGTATAGATTATAAGATAATCCAGACAGTACATATAAATAAGACGATAAAAATATAAAAGAATGTTTTTTCCTTTTCTATGATTTTGGATAATACGTGGTTATGATCAATTTAAAAATGTACGTTTAGATACCCCTTATTATTTATACCACAACCCATTTTTCTAATGTCGGGATATTTATTAAATAATACAAAATGCATAACAATAACATACACATTCTATACTGATTCTTGGTGAAAGACTTAGGGGTTGTTTGTTTACCTCTTAATAGTTTAATTAAAAAATGAATCTTGTTTGGCAAAAAAAAAAATTGTCTTTTAATGATTCTAAAACCCTTTGAATGGTTTTCCATCATAAATCTCTCTTAACCATTCAGCGCCCTAATTCCATTGTAGACAATTACCGAACAATTATATTTCATTTTGCACTATATCATGAGAATCTCTTAACCATTATGACCACTTAATCATTCTGCACCAAATCATTCAGCAATTGTCAAACAACCTCTTACCGAAAATGGGTAACAAGCCCATTATATAATATGAAATCAAACCACATTTTTCATTATCATTACCGTTCTCGTTCATTACTCCTCGATACCTCCAACCAAAATGTCACCTTAAAATGACTATACATCATTGAATAATCCGAAAAACTTTTAAGTAATCTACCACCCTAATTGGGAGTCTTGCTCGAGCGAAACTCATACCTCTTTGCTAAACTTATAGCAATTGTTTTTCTATTGTCTGTTTCTGCTATCTACACGTATCATATTGGGCAACTTGCACACAGTAAACATAATGGATGTCGTGTATGTTATGTATTACATAGTAGTACTAACATAAATCAATATAAAATTTCTCCATCGGGTATGATAGAATTGACGTCGCTATGCCCCCTGATGGAAGGGTACTGGGAAAAAACCCGCATGCATAGTCAAATAGCGTATATCAAATGTCGATATATGCTTTGTTAATGCATTTAGTAATCAACAAACTGGTGATTAACACTTATACATGCTTGTTTCAGTCTGAACATCAAAGAACAATGAACACAGTATTTACATTGATATTGATCACAATATTGATGATCAGTTGAATCATCAATCATTGTCATCTGGGTGACAATGATATGTTACTAGTTTCCGCTCTTCCCCGTTATAAATACAATTTATAATTATCAGCAACATGACAGGGCCTCAATAAGTAACATGTAACGAACCAGTTGAAAAAGGAGAATACAAAATTAAGTGTGTTTTAACGATTATAATACATAGTTGTATATCAAATTAATAAAATAGATAAATACGTAAAACCTTATATTTCCAATGATTTGATGAATATTAAGGCCTTGTTTATCTATACTATATTATGAAGCATTTGACAAAAACTCTTAAAACCATTTTTTATGCATGAAGTACTGTATATTGATGCACATTACTTAAGATTCAAGATTACAAGTAAATTATGCATAAGTACCCTTATTAAAGCTTTATGTTTGAATTTGTGTAACAAATTGCGGATAAACATAATCAAATAAATGATAAATATCTCATTTTAAAATATAAAAATTCTAAAATATAATTAGGATAATTATCGAGTTATAACAAAATAATTAATTATTATCTTTACATTTTAAGATATAAAAATTCTAAAATATAATTAGGATTATTATCGAGTTCTAACAGAATAATTAATTATCATTTTTATAAAAAAATTATATTATTAAACCAAATATAAATTACTTCATTATTGAACCTAAATTAAACCATAACAAAAAAATTGAATTAAAAAATTGCACAAAAAATAAGGATTTTTTTAAATAGTTAATTTGATAGTAATATTGATATATTTTTATCAATTTTTTATGATATTTGCAATTTTATATTTTATTCAAAAATAAAAGACATCATCTATTTTTCAAAATCACATAAGATCATATATTATAACATTTACTGAAATAAATAATAAAATAAAATATTAAAATTAAGATGTATCTCGCTACATTGTGTGAGTATCCTTCCAGTTTTCTATAAAAAAAAAACTCTTATCAGCTCCTTATGTTTGATTTATTAAGAAAGTTTTGATAAGGGTTCATGTTTATTAGATGGATATATTTCCATGAGGTTCCCACGTGGGACTAGTTTCTCACATGTAAAGCCAAGTTCCAACGATTAGAAACCAAAATGTAAACAAAAATGATTAAATTTTAGAAGGAAACTTGTGTAATGCAGCAAAATAAATATCCATTTTAATATTTAGTTTTTATTATTTTCTATCGATATAATATGATTTTATGTGGTTTTGAGAAAACCATAATGTTTTTATTTTTGAGTGAAGTATAAATTTGAAGATAGCATAGAAAATTGAAAAAAATAAACCGATATTAGTATCAAAGTAACTATTTAATGGTTCTCGTTTTTTGGTTTAACTTTTTAATTCAATTTTTTATTATACGTTAATTTAGATTTAATAACAAAGTAATTTATTTTTGGTTTAATAATATAATTTTTTATAAAAATAATAATTAAGCATTCCGTTAGAACTCAATAATTATCTTGATTATAATTCAGATTTTTTAATATTTAAAATGAATGTTTATCATAACTTTAATAAGTTGTATTTATGCAAAATTACTTGTAATCTTGAATTTTAAGTAATATGCATCAATAAATAGTATTTCATGAATAAAAAATGATTTTTAAAAGTTTTTGTCAAATGTTTTATAATATAGTATAGATGATATTATATATTGACTAAATATATTATTGAGTAAATTACGTTTTTAGTTGTAGTTTGTTGAAATTTTTTATTTTCATCTTTATGGTTTTAAAACTACAATTTTTATTCCTATGGTTTATGATATATTACTTTTTTGTCCTTGTAATTTAAAATTTATTGCTTTTTCACCCCTATGATTTACAATTCATTTCTATTTTAGTCCTTTATACTTAAGAGTAGTGTTTTGATCTTATAGACGAAAATAGAAATGAATTACAAACCATAGAAACAAATATTGAGATTTCAAAAAAATGGGGAAAATCTGCAATTTTTAACAAACCACGGGGATGAAAAGCGTAATTTACTCTATATTGTTTTCTAATGGTGAAAAAGTTACATTCCTTGATACTACAAGGACCAAACATGTACTTTTTAAAGAAGTAAATACGACCAAGACTTTTTAGCCATTGACTGACTTTATTAGTTGAGTCTACGGAGGCCATGTTTTCTAATATAATATTTTGGGTAAATGACAAATTTGGCCCTTGATTTATCAATGTAGTTGCATTTTCTATCCCAAACTTTTAGTTTGTTTTTATTTTGCTTGAATCTAACAAAATGGGTTACCCAGGAGGGTTGGTTAACGAGCTATGTTAAAATGGGTTCAAGTCAAGACATGTTTCGGTTGATTCACCAACATTTTGTGTCCATCTTCAATTTTTACAAGTTACTAATGTATCAAATATGTTTACGGTACCCTCCAAAGTAGCTCCAGTGGACCAATCCCACGACCATCACGGGAAGGTGAATTGTGGCGTTGTGGGGGCAAAAGTGGGGCAGGTTCGGATTTGAACTCGATATTTGGTTGTAGAAACTTCCTCATGTTTTCACTAAGATAGTTCATTATTCAACAATGACAAATGAACTAGTAGTTTGTAAGCATTTGAATACATATCGAGAGACTTCCGATTCGTTGACCCATTTCTCTCTCTCTCTCTCTCTCTCACACACACACACACACATATATATATATATATATATAGAGAGAGAGAGAGAGAGACTTGTGATCATGTGAGACAAAGTTGTTTTCGTGAGATACGTGAGACACAATTTTTATACTTGAAACTTCACAGCAAAAACATTGTGAAGGTTAAAGATTCGGCATTTTTTCACCTTTACAACATTTAGTTGTGAAGTTTCAAGTGTAAAAAATCATGTTTCACGTGTCTCAAGAAAACAATCCTGTCTCACGTGAACCCAATCCTATATATATATATATACATACGTGTGTGTGTGTGTATATATATATATATATTACCATTAATAATAGAATAAAGCTCAAATCATTCTATTTTTAAGTAATCGAGTGACAGTTGCCGGCTCTATGTTTTTGGTATACTTGGTGCGTCACAAGGACTTGATCTTTGGAATAAACTATGGTTACATATGTACATGAATTTGTTTAACTTTAGCAAGAAACCAATGTCCCTGATTTTGTCGCATTCAACAACATGAGACATGACAAACTTAAGGATGACACATGTAATTGAAATAGAGATTGCACAAAAAAAGTCTAAGCGAGAGCCTAGGAAACCTGAGCCCAGGCTTGACCGTAAAGTTTGACCAGGGCAACAATTTTTTCTTCCAAAACCCGATTAAAACCTGACCCAAAAGCCCGAAAATCCTAGTCTGAAAAGGCTCAATCAAGTTTTTTTCAACCCTAAGCCCAAACATAGCCTAAAAAACCCAGTCTTTTTTGCTTACTGAAAAACAGGCTTGAAAGCCTCAATTCCGGATCTGAAAAAGGCTGAGTCATGTATATCTCTAATTGCCAAGACAAGGTGTCAGAACCCTAAACTCAGCCTGTATTGACATCCAAGTGAGACTCACCAAGTTTGTTTGGTTTTGTTTATATCAAAGTATTTTACGATTTTCATGTGTTAGATTATATCTTAGCATTGTCTTATTGATCTAAGTACCAGAACCGAGAAAATTAAAGATTATGTAAGATTATACACAGAAAGATCCTCTCTTGACACATTTGGGACAAAAAGTGTTCATGCTTCTAGAAATGGCAATCTCTCACCAACCAACAACATAACTTGAAGGACTGTATTGTCATTTTGTAATACATCTGGGATCTAAATGACGCTTTTTCAAACTATAAGGAGCAAAATTGAAAAATTCTCAAAACTATAATCATTTTTGCAGCGATATAAAATCCTCTTCTTCAAAATTATACAGCCACTAGTGTTTGACATCGCGCGTTGCGCGATGACGATAATTTTTTTTTAAATTATTGAAGTTAGTTAAATGAATTGATGATCACATTTATATATTAAATTAATAAGAATCAGTATTACCTTTGATATATGAATTTACCCACCTCATTTTGATTATCCATATATTTTATACGAATTTTTACAAAAAAAACAAATTAATCCCAAATACGATGTAAACAACCTCGAAAACACACTGTTTCGAGCCAATTAGAGTCATAAATGACTTTCGACCCTTCATAAAAGTGGTTGCAAGATACGAGYTTATTACAACTTACAGTTTGTGAGTTATACATTGGCAAAGTACGAGAGTTGCATTGTCGATAAAATCCAATTTCACAATTTCTCAACTAACTTTTATGATCYCAACTTCGCGTATTCAATCAAACGKGTAATTTTCTCCCCGACTACGAGTCCCATACTACCCTCCATAAACTGAAAATCCATAACCAAGTTGCTACGGTAATACCTTTTAGTTGTCTTATGCTTGTTTGAACAACCTCGGTTAATCTTGTMTTTCTTATTATGTTGTACTAAAAAATRATTGAAACTCGTGTTTTTGGTCATTTAGTAAATATASTATTATTATATTCAACTATTATGTAAATAGACTTATACATATTAATCATAATTTCATTTATATAAGTGAGTTTCTAAATATAATGATTATTTATATATTCGTTAATTATAAGAAATAAAGAAAACTGAGTGTAACTAAAGAAGATTAATAGTCTAATTAATTTAATGTTTGCTAATA